AGCAATGGATCAAAAGATTAATATACCACAACCAAGTGGGATTTGTCTCAGCTGTGCAAGGCTGGTTCAGCATTTGAAAATCCATCAATATAATCTACCATATCAATAAGCTAAAGAGGAAAAACTATATGATCATATCAATTGGCAGAAAAAAATCATTTGACAATATCCAACATCCATGGATGATTAAAAAAAAAAACCCTCTCAGCAAGTCAAGAATAGAGGGATACTACCTCAACTTGATGCAAATCATTTGCAAAACTCCACAGCTCATATCATGCTTAATAGTGAAAGACTGAATGCTTTTCCTCTAAGATTGGGAATAAGGAAGGCAAGGAAGTCTGCTCTCACCACTTTTTTTCAACAAAGTACTAGAACTTCTAGCCACAGCAGTAAGGCAAGAAAAAGAAATAAAAGGCATATAGATTAGACAGGAAGAAATAAAACTATATCTACTTACAGACTGCATTTTCTCTGTGTAGAAAATCCCAAGAAATCTACAGTCTCCTAGAACTAATAACTGTGTTTGGAAAAGTCATAGGATACCAGATCAATTGCATTTATACATACTAACAATGAACATGCATAAAACAAAGTTTAAATATTAAATTAAAATTAATACCATTTACAATCACTCCAAATAAAATGAAACTTAGGTATACACTTCATAAAACATATGTAGGATCTGTATGGTGAAAATTATTAAATAGTGATGAAAGAAATCAAGGCTAAATAAATGAATAGATATGGTGTGTTCATGGATTAGAAGACTTAGCATAGTAAAGATGTCAGTTCTTTCCAAACTGATCCTTAGGAGTAAGGCATTTCCTATAAAAACTTTTAGTAAGGTTTTTTGTAGACATAGACAAGCAAGCTTATTCTAAAATTTATATGAAAAGACACAGGCCCTAGAATAGCTAAAACAATCTTGACAAAGAAGAATAAAGTGAGAGGGATAAGTCTACCTGACATGAAGCTTACTATATAGCTATAGTATATTGGTGGAGGGATAGACACGTAGATCCATGAAACAATAGAGAACCCAGAAAAAGACTTACACAAATGTGCCCAGCTGATTTTTGACAAAGGTACAAAAGCAATTCAATAGAGGAAGAATAGCCTTTTCCACAAATAGTGCTGGAGCAATTGGACATCCACAGGCAAAAAAAAAAAGAACCTCAACCTAAACCTTACATTGTATATAAAAATTACCTAAAAACAGTTCATGGAATTACATGTAAAATGTAAGCTATAGAACTTTTAGAAAAAAACATAGGAGAAAATCTTTAGGATCTAGGCCTAGGGCAAGAGTTCTTAGACTTGACACTAAAAGCTCAATCCTTATAAAGAAAAATTTATAAATTAGACTTCATCAAAATTAAATAGTTTTGCTCTGTGAAAGCCATGTGAGGAGGATGAAAAGACAAGCTACAGACTGGGAAAAAATGATATGCAAACCACATACCTGACAAAGGACTAATATCTATAATACATAAAAAACTCTCAAAATGCAATAGTAAAAAGCAAACCAATTAGAGAATGGGCAAAAGATCCGAACAGACATTTTATCAAAGAGGATCTACAGATGGTAAGTAAGCACGTGAAAAGTTGTTCAGCATCATTAGCCATCAGTGAAAAGCATATTAAACTACAATGAGATATCACTACACATCTAGCAGAATGGCTAGAATAGAAAATAGTGAAACACGAAATGGTGACAAGATGCAGAGAAACCGGATCACTTGTGGATGGCTGGTGGGAATGTAAAATGGTACAGCCACTCTGGAAAACAGTTTTGCAGTTGCTTCTAAAACTAAGCATGCAATTACCATAGAATCCAACAATTGTACTCCTGGGCATTTATCTGAGAGAAAAGAAAATTATGTTCACATAAAATCTGTATTCAAATGTTTATAGCAGCTTTATTTGTAATAGCCCCAAACTGAAACAACCCCAGATATCCTTCCACAAGTAATTGGTAGACAAACTGTGGTCCATCCATACCATGGAATGCTACCCAGTGATAAAAAGGAAAGAACTATGTATACACACAACAACCTGGATGAATCTCCAGAGAATTATATTGCATGAAAAAAGCCATTCCCAGGGGACCGGCCCTATGTCCTAGCGGTTAAGTGTGCGCACTTTGCTACTGGCAGCCCGGGTTCGGATCCCAGGCATGCACCGACACATTGCTTCTCCGGCCATGCTGAGGCGACATCCCACATACAGCAACTAGAAGGATGTGCAACTATGACATACACTATCTACTGGGGCTTTAGGGAGAAAAAGGGAAAAAAAAAAAAGAGGATTGGCAATAGATGTTAGCTCAGTGCCGGTCTTCCTCAGCAAAAAGAGGAGGACTGGCATGGATATTAGCTCAGAGCTGATCTTCCTCATACACACAAAAAAAGCCAATCCCAAAAGGTTATATACCATATGATTCCATTTCTATAATATTCTTGAAATGACGAAATTATAGACTTGAGAACAGGTTAGTGGTTTTCAGGGCTTAATGGTGGGGAGGGGAGGAGAGGCAAAGGGTGGAGAAAGAGGTGGCTGTGGCTATGAGATAGCAGCAAGGGATGCTTGTGATGGTATTGTTTTGTGTCATGACTGTAGTCACTTGAATTTACGAAGGTGATAACATTGCTTAGAACCACACACACCACACAAACACACACACACACTCACACACACAAGTGCATATAAAACTGGTCAACCTGAATCACGTTGATGGATTAATGTTACACGTGAAATCCTGGTTGGGATATTGTTCTGTAGTTTTCAGGATGTTACTATTGGGTAACGCAAGATGAAACATATATGGAATCTCACTGTATTGTTTCTTAGAACTGCATGTGAGTCTATAATTATCTAAAAATAAAAAGTTGAAAAAACATAAAGCATGTATAAATTATCTCAAAACAAAACAAAACAAAATCCTACATTGAGAAATGGGACAGAGATGCATGTCAAAATATCTGTAGTGGTCAAAAATATTGCTTCTGGATATATTAGTTTGAATGATACAAAATAGCCTATATTATTAGACAGCTTTTAGCTTACAGAAGTAACAATTTCATATGTCTCAAACGAATACAATTAGGCTTTGTTAAGAAATTAGCAGCCTTTGGAAGAAGGGATGAGTTAGTAATACTATCTATAGATTATGTGGGTAATTGTAATAATGGAAGTATCACCATTCTATTATTTTATATCAGAGGAACACTAGAAGGATATTGCTTTTCATATCGCTAAGAATAGTTTGGGGTTTTGTTTGTTTTTTTTAACAGACATGATCTCTTAAAAAACAAAACAAAACACTTAATGAAGATTCTGCTGTAGTCCTGCCTAAGCATCTGCTTATAATTATGGAAGTTCATAGAAGGGAAAAAGAGCAAGGTTTATTGAATTAATAGGTACTTGATATATTAATAAATTAAAATAGCATATTTTGAAACTCCTAATTCAAAAATATTTCTGGTAATCTTCCTGTTGTTGGCTGCCTCTGGTGTGGGTGATTGTTGTGGGGTGAGTTTTCAAGAGGAGCAGAGACGAATAGCTGATTCATATTGTGTGGGCCTCTTATCTTATGCCGACCTGTTTATTCAGGGATGGCAGTGACCACACTGCCTCAGACCCAGCGCTATGAATCATTTTGGCGAGTGTGGCGGGGCAGCCCGAGGAAGGTGGCTTTGAGAAGTCAGGAAGATTTGGGGCATCATGGGTTATTGCTTTGGGTACCAAAGACATGCAGCACAATATCTGCATATGGAACATAGTTATGAAATGTTCATTTGCCTTCACCCACCTGTTCCCACATCTATCACATCTCCTTTTACTTTCACACACAGCAAAGGAAGAAATGCACTGTTAAAATCAAGACAAGTTTGAGCTTTTTCTGACAGTATGGAATAGACTGATATTACTTATCCAGATGAGTCCACAAATGCCTGTAAACTATTCAAAAAGTGTAATACTATTTATTCAGATTTTTATTATGAATTGCTTGTGTGTATAATCTTTAGTTCTATGGTTGACTACTTAGGCATCCCGGGTACAAATAGTAACCTTAGTCCTTGCCCTGCCAGTTGATCCAATTTTCATAATAGGGCCCTCTGGCATCCCAGTTCACACGTCAGTGGCTGCTTTCAGAGAGAGAGAGAGAGCCACTCCAGTGGCTGTTAATTCAGACTTTGAAGCTATATGAACTGAGCCTTGAATCATGGATATTTCCCTTACTAGCAAATAACCTCTTCATCCCTCCATTTCCTCATATATAAAATGGGGAAAATAATACCTACTTTACTGTCCAATTGAGAAGAATAAGTGAGATCCTGTGTATACAAAGTACCCAGTTCTGTTCCTTCCACGGAATAAATGCTCAGGAATCAAACAGAAGGATCAAAGCGCATCCATAAAACAAAGACCTCCCTGGTGGCTGAATGTATTGCTTTGCTTAGGAGCCACCAGCAAAGGGAACTGTCTGCTTCCCCTGGCATGTGAAACCTTCTTGAAGTCCTGTCAGAGCACAGCGCTTGGTCCCCTGCGTTCTTCTGGCCTCCCACCTTGACACTTCTGAACCAGAGTACCATTAACGGTTGTGTGTTGAGCACACACGATATTTCCTTAATGTAACGCCTTTTTTAAAAATTTTTGTTAATGATTATAGTATACACTTCCTTTTCTGAAATTTAAGATCTGGAAGTCACAGTTTTATTCATTTAGATGAGGATCCATGAGGTATTTCGTGAGAAAATAAAACTTTTATTATAATTTATCTACCATCTCAGTCCAAAAAGAATTTGAAGTGGCTTACAGAGCGAATATGTGTACTAAAAAATAGAGCATCATGACCAAAGACAAGTAAAAGATTTTCTTCTACACATACATGAACATACAAACAGCATTTGTGTATATATTTAATTTTACTTTATGAAAGATACAATTAACTTGTTAAACAGTTTTAAATGGTCTGAAATTGCATTTTTAAACAGATACTCTCTTCATTTACTGATAAAGAACTCTTGGCGTATGCAAAAGCTGGAGCAGTCGCTGAAGAGGTCTTGGCAGCAATCAGAACTGTGATTGCATTTGGAGGACAGAAGAAAGAACTGGAAAGGTTTGAGTCTCTTTTTTTAAGTTGATAGAAATGTTAAATTCTATGTCATCTTATATGCCCTTCAGGTTGACAGTGTTGATTATAAGGGTATTCTCCAATACATATGTTTCCTTAAATAGCTTTATGGATATACTACAGCATGGCTAATATTGTGGACAAGTTGTAATTCTAGTTGTACCCTTCTTATATCTGCTAGGCGGGTAGCGACATAGAATATTTTCTTAAGGCTGAAAGATATTTTATATCTCTGATGATAATTCTTTTCCCCATCAAGTTAATTCTTGATTCTCTAAGATTAAATGAGTATTTTGTGTAAGATCCTTGGGGACATTTAATCATTTTAATTGGTAAGTTATACATTGTTTGCTAGAGCCATAAATAAAAACAAGGGATTTTTATAAGTGAGAATAATGGTTCCCTTTGGGGCAGATGAGGAGTTGGTAATAAGAGTGGGACACATGGCAGAGGCTTCTGTGGCTCTGGCCGTGTTCTGTTTCTTGACCTCAGTAGTGCTTAGATGGGTGTTTTCTGTATAAATTATTCTTTAAACTGTACATGCGTGTTTCGAGTACACTTTTGTTGATATATTTCATACCCAAAAAGATATCCTCCTAGAATAATTTGTGATGGCAAAGTACCTACTATAGTTCAAAGGAAAGCATTATCTATGTTCTATCTCAATTTGTGCTAAGGCTTTGCTTTTGCCTTAAAATATGTCTGAGTAATAAAATGGGAAGTCTGCTTAATGCAGGCAAACATCCAGTCAAATCCACACAGCCCTCCTCTCTTGGAGCCAATATTCTAGTAGGGGGAAGGGAAGGGTACCAACAACCGCAAATCAACAAAAGATGTCATATACCAGCTGAGGTCAATGTTATTGGGGGAAATACTCTATTAGAGTCATAGGGGGTACTATGTATAGAGATTGTTCAGAAAAGTCCTTTCTAAGTAGTTAATGTTTGAGTAGACACAGAATGAAGTTTTGAACTTAGAATTCTTTTCCAGTTTTCCTCAGTGGAAAGGGACCAGAAAAAGATTATGTCCACCAGCATGGGGAGACAGAAAAAGCTTATGTGCTTCTGCCTAGTTTCTGAGCTGAGGAAGAGCATCTCTCCATAGAAATCAAAATCTCAGGCCTCCCCTTCAGGTGCAGTTAGAGTCTGAATTTATAGTCCTCTGTGGACTAGGGAGCTCTCTCTCCCCAAACCTGAGGGTTTCACATTAAAAATGAATCCTAGTCCAGTGATACCACTAGCATATCTGGTAGAAGAAATGAAAAATGTTTGAGAATTAATAAACTGAGCATCCAAATTAAGAAGTCAGAAAAATAAACAACAGAGTAAAGGACGTATAAGAAGGAATTAATGGAGATAAGATAAATTTAATAGAAAATAAAGGTAAAAAAGCAGAGGGTTGACAAATCCATAAAGGAATTCTTTGAAAAGACTCATAAATAACCAAGTATTTTGTAAGTTTAATCAGGAACAAAAGAAGAATGAATTAGAAAAAATTGCTACAGATAAATAAAAATCTATTTAATAAAATTACAGTTTTACACGAACAAATGGTTAAAACCCTGATTAAATAGACAATATCCTAGAAAAATACAGATTAAAACTCTCACTTAAGAGAAGAAAACTTGAATAGACCTATAATCATTAAAGGAATTGAATCCACAGTTAAAGATCTCTATCCCTGCCCCTACATACACATACACACATAAACAAGCAGAAACCACCATTCCAGATAATTTTACAGACAAGTTCTACTAACACTTCAAGAAAGAGATAACTCCATCTTTCACAAATTGTTTCAGAGAATGAAAAATAATACATAGAAAATTGCGAGTTCATTTTATGAGGCTAGTGTAACTTTGATACCACAACCAGACATGCATATGAGAAAGGAAAATTATAGGACACTGTCACCTAAAACATAGATGCAGAAAGTCAAGATAAATTATTAGCTGAACAAAACCATGTAAAAGGTATCAGGATTCAAAGTAAATCCTGAACATGTTGGCTTTATCTCATGAGTGCAACGATGGTTTAACATTAGGATATCTATTAATATAACTAAGCACGTTACAGATTACAGAAACTTTTTCTTTTGATGGATGGGAAAAAGCATTAATTACATATGATTCATGAGAAAAACTCTTAAAACTAGGAATAAGAAATGCCTTTCTTCACAGGAAATTTCATACTCAGTGGTAAAATGTTAACAGCATTCCTTTTTAAAATAATGAATGAGACAAGTATGTCTGCTAGCATCATTTCTATTTAGGATTGTACTGGTACTAGATAATAAGATGAAGGAAACAAATAACAGTAAGAATAATAAAAGAAAACAAAAAAGAAAAGCTTTAAGAGTTGGAAAACAAGAAGCAGAACTGTCATTATTCACAGATGATATGATTGTCTACATAGAAATTCCAGTAGACTCTGCAAACTAACAACGTACAGTAAGATTTCTGGGTAACCTGATCATGATTCAGAAAAAACGGCATTCCTTTGAACCAGCAGTGAACATTTAGAACACATGTAGTAGCTCTGCAGTTCTAAGATGCACATTTTTCTCTCACAATCCACCCTGACTGAAATTGAGAAAAATCATACAATCAGTGTCATCTTATAATCGCTGTGGGTCTGGATTGAGGTCGAGTTCTTCCAGGCAGGATTTGTGTTTGCTTCTGCCATTGACTGGGGGCACTGCTAAGCTGAGACGACCTTACCTTAAGTTCTTTGTCCAGGAGTTTTTGAACCACATGGGTAGTGTGAATTTATATTCAGACCTGCATGAGTACTGCCTGATGGTCCAGATTCTTAGAGGAGGTGGTTTGTTCACCTCAATTTTTGCCAGGGTTGAGACAAGCAAGTTCTCCTGCTGTCACTTTCCATGTGCTAGGTGCTTATTATACTGAGGGTGTAGCCCTTTGGGTCCCAGCTGTATATGGGGTGTCCTATTAAACTGCATTCTTAATGCTACATAAAATAACTGAATAAAAATATTTGTTACAATTAATGACATCCTAAATTTGAGGAATGTGATAATATTTTTATTAGATATGATTATTAGTAACAAAAAACTGTAATGATGTATGGGATGTAACCTGGGTAAGGAGAGAAAGGACATTATGGAAGTCAACTCCAATATTCCGAACTTAGATAAATCTGATCATTTAGTTCACTGAAAGTTTAAAGGAATTGAGATCAGTTTTTTAATGTAATGATTAATGAAGATTGATAAATGATAAATGAAGATGGTGATCAATTTTTTATTATAAGAATAAGCAAATGGGCTCACACAGCTGTATTCCAAGACTGATTTTATGTGTGGAATCATTTCTTCAGAAGATACTAGTTACTGGAATGTATCTTTTTTTTTTTTTTAATAATTTTATTTATTTATTTTTCCCCCCAAAGCCCCAGTAGATAGTTGTATGTCATAGCTGCACATCCTTCCAGTTGCTGTATGTGGGACGCGGCCTCAGCATGGCCGGAGAAGCGGCGCGTCAGTGCGCACCCTGGATCCGAACCCGGGCTGCCAGCAGCAGAGCGCGCGCACTTAACCACCAAGCCACAGGGCCGGCCCCTGGAATGTATCTTTGAAGGGATGTGCTCCCTTGGAGCATTGGAAGTTAGATTTGCCTGGAGATCAAGAGTAGACTTAAGACTACAACCTAATGACCTAAGGTTCTTTCCAGTTTGGCTGTTTCTTGAAAGTTCACTCATTGAACAAATGTAGCCAGCATCTACCACGAGCTAAGCACTGGGCTAGGCTCTGGGTTTTCAATAGTGGATTGGAAATAGAGGATGTCTGCCCTCATGTGAGCCTCAGTGAAAATAGTAAGGTGGAAAAAAAGGGAAGGAAGGAAGGAGGAAAGTAGGAAGGCAGACAAGAAAGAAATCATCAAAGAAATAAATTAAATTACAGATTTTTAAAATGTGCTATGAAAGGATCAAAGAGTGTGCTGATGAGGGTGAGGAGGGCAAATTTACTGTAAATATGGTGGTCAGGGAAGCATCTTTGAGGTTTCATCTAGGCTGAGACTTGAGGGATGATAAAAAGCCTGCCATGGTGGGGGTAGGGATAGAAGAGTCTCCCAGATTTCCTGAGGTGGCAAAGACTTTGGTATGTTCTAGGAACTGTTCTAAGGCTTGTGTGACTGGAGCTCAGTTGAGTGAGGGGAGACTGAGGTGAAGAGAGGCTGTTGAAGGTGGGTGGGGCCAGAACTTGAGGATTTGCAGGCCATGGTGAGGAGTTAGGATTTTATTCCAAGGGCACAGGGAAGCAGTTGAGGATCCTAAAGAAGGGAATGACTATCCATGTTATAAGAGAATTTCTCTGTCTGTAAGTGTCTGGTGAATGGACGAGAGCAGTCAGAGTGGAAGCAGGGAGAACGTTGCGAAGGCTGTTGTAATGGTCCAGGAGGAAGGGCTTGTGGTGGCCTGATCAGGACCTCAGGCGGGAGAGGGGTGACAAGTACATAGATACAGGATGTTTTGGAAGTAGAATTGATAAAACTATCTTAGACCAAATATAATCCTTCAGTTTTCTTTCTTGTTCTACCTCTTCCCTTCTCTGTTTCCACCAACACAAGTAACTAAGGTCTTCGTCTTTCTCTTCAAGTTAGTGGCTGCAGGAGGAAGCTGGCTGTGTTGGAATGGAAATTTAAGCAGAATCTAAAATGAATTTAATTCAGTAGTATATAATAGTTTTCTTCTCCTGATTTAAAAACATTTTCTCCCTTCTGTCTTACAAATGTTTACCTATTACTATTGATTTCTGTTTGCTTAACTAAAATTATTCCTCGCTCTTGTAAGTGGCTATTTGTATCACTGATAAATATTTTCATAATATTTAAGAAGAAGAATCTTTTCTAAATATCAATGTTTTGTTTTGTAACTTTAGGCCATTTTAGGAACTCCTGCTTTACTTACCATTTTCATACTAATGCTTTTAATGAATGGATGATTTTAATATCGAGTTTTTTATTGTGATATTTTTATTCAAATGCTAATCAAAAAGCCTGTGTAAAAGGAGAATTGTGTATGTCTCCTCCCTCCTTACCCCCTTGTCTTCATTTATCTTTTCTGGTATCTAAATGATTTTCTTCCTTACTGTTGATTTTTCCTGTGCAAATGTTTCTTCTGGCTGCATGGGACAACAACATAGGAGTGAAATTATTTCTGCATTAGTCTCAGTAAGCAAGAACTGAAATAAAGGAGATAACAGGGTGTGAGTCCAAGGCGTTGAAGTTCCTTAAATGTAATCATGTATAATTTATGTCTAGTAGTAACTTTCACCTCAGATCAACTCATAAAGTGCGAGATATATTATATATACACACATATGTATATCAACCATTGAAACACGTTTCTCAAAAATAATTTTTTTGTTCAAAGTTAAACTAGCAAGTTGAGGCACATTTTTGCAGGGCGAAACTAATAATAAGTTAGTATTTTATCACTATAAAGTTCTGTTTCAATTTGGTCTTTAGGGGACATGATGGTCATGTAAATTTCATTTGGCTTGCTTTTGTAAAGTAGCTGGTTAAAAAAAAGTCATGAAGGCAAGAAAGAATGCATGCTTGCAGCTGAGCAGGGCTTGAACTCCGCTGACATTTAATGGAACAAATTCTCTGAACCAAATTAATAATATTTATATAGTCATGTTTTTATGGATTAAAGACCTCAGAATATGAATTCTATGTGGAAGTAAGTTCTTTCATTTCAACAATTATGAACTCCTTCTTTCTGCAAGGCATTGTTCCAAGGTTCCACAGGGAGTTGTGATTAAGAGGATCAAAGTAGGTTTAAGGCTCAATTATAATCTGTCCTATTTCTCTAATAATTTTACCTAATTCTATATTTGCAAAGATCCTTCTTTTTCTTTGAATCTGGGCCCTACTAGCTTATCTCCACATCTCTCTTCTTAAGTAGAAGAGTCTTCTATGTTCCTTTCAAATGAAGGTAAAGTTACAGACACCACCTCCTTTAATTTTAACATCAGAAATTAACTGCTCTCCGACGGTTTAAAAAGTACTATAGTTATCATCTGGGAGTCAGCTTGAAGTCATTAGAGCTGGAGAGAGAAAATCTGTCAGTAGTCTCCAGCATTGTTTTTGTTTTTTGTTTGCTTCCTTGCTTTTGCCCTTTTTTGTGTAATTCCCAGTATTTACTCTAAGAAATATTAATGAGTGTTCTCCAACTTTGGCTAATATATTGCAAACCTTTGTGTTGTGTACGGGTTACAGGGTTATAGATGTGCTGCGATCTTGAGTTGCTCAGCCCATGAAGTAGCCAGAAGGCCTTGGGTAGCCCGAGCCTCTTCCTCCAGCAGTGAGCAGCCATGACATGACCAATGTTGGGAAGCACTGAGAGAGGCAAAGGGATGTAGGCAATGTGTAGAAAAGCTAAGGAAGGGGACATGGATAAGTAATGATGGATTAATATACATTTTTAAGCCAAATAATTTTTGCAGGTCAGTGACTTTAAAAACAAACATTTTTTTGGAAATAAGATAAACTATATAGTTTATTTAAATGTAAAAAGTATTAGATAGCAATTCAAAGCTCTCGAAATGCTCTCACACGTGTATCCTCTCAGTTGGTCCTTCCAGCAGTCCCAGGGGGACGCAGGATGGAGAGCAAACTATCTCCAAAGTTTCCTTAACCTTCAGAGATTTAAAGGACTTACTCATGTTGAGCTCTTTCTCGCATTATATCTTCTTTTTATTAATACGTTTAGAAGGCATGCAGATTTTAAAGGGAAAACACAAGTGCTTTCATAGCTTCTAATTTTGTCTTGTGTATGAAGCAATGCAAGTTCTGGAAGTTTGCTAAATATAATTTCACTTATTTCACTATTGCTAAGGCCAGAGAAGGAGCTTTTAGAAGACTCTCTCTCAAATTACTTAATGTCTGTAAGCCTCAGTTTCCTTTCCTGCAAGAAGGAATTAAAATAGCATTAATATCATAGGGTCAATGTATGGACAAAAGGAGAAAATACATGTAAAACGCCTACCACAGGGCTGGGCACTTTCTAAGTACTCAATAACCATCATGGTATATTGACTCAATTCATAAGATTTATGAGTATATGTGATAATTTTTGTTTCTTCTCCCAGGTACAACAAAAATTTAGAAGAAGCTAAAAGAATTGGGATAAAGAAAGCTATTACAGCCAACATTTCTATAGGTGCTGCTTTCCTATTGATCTATGCATCATATGCCCTGGCATTCTGGTATGGGACCTCCTTGGTCCTCTCAGGAGAATATTCTATTGGGAAAGTACTCACTGTAAGTGATGCTATATTAAGAAATGAATCATTATTAAAAATGGTAGTGAAAATTGGTGTAGGCTTGACTGTAGAAGAATATATTTTGAAGAACTATTGAATAATACAAAGAGACATGCTACTAGATTAAAAAGTGGAAAGGAAATTAGAGATATTCAACAGCCACTTTTGTCTTTTTTTAGGTCCCTTGCACAGTTTATCCTGTAGCCTAAATAATATTGACATCACCAGTCTCTACAGCATGAACTTTAGTTTGTTGAGATTACTTCTTTGTGCCAGACTCTATGCTAAGCACTTCACTTTTATTTTCTGATTTACTATTCACAACAACAAATGGCAAAATGTCAGTTTAACTTCTTTTCAAATTCTTTTGAATGACAGCTAATCCATGTCATAAATATACGGAAGTATAAATTGTTACTTCCTAAAAGAATATTCCGTTCAGAGGTTCTCTGCGTTTCAGACCTCTGTACAAGCACAGAAGGCTTGCCATTTGATGCTATCCTCTTTTATTTAAAGGCAATGAAATAATTCACAAACCAAGCTCAGTCTGTATCTTGATCTAATAAAGTACATACTGTGTGAAGAGTCACTCAGTTCCTCTTTTATAGGCCAAGCACAGGAATATTGAGTTAATGACAGCCATCTTTTGTTGAGTCCTTTCAAACAATTCCATTTCTCAGGAACCACATTTGTAATGTGTATATAATAATTGCATCTCTTGTTTTTTCAAACTGTTGCCTCATCGAAAATGTGTGAGGCTGTTTAGTTAAGAATGAATTTTACCAAAAAGCTCTTATTAGGATAGTGATGCTGTGGGTGAACCTAGGTTGTGACAAGAGGTGTATTCTGCTTAATTGTGATGTAGATAAGCAGTTTCAAGTCCAGTATTCGCTGAACCCAGATCTGCCTCACACACTGCAAGCACCCAGAATAGTAAGAGCTCAGGAACTGATATCAAGCCGACAGGGTTCGGATTCCAGCTGTGCCACTTATTCGCTGTATGATTTGGGGCGGCCACCTAGACTTCTCAAGCCTCCGTTACCTCTTCTGCCAAATGGAAATGACAGGAATGACGTGCCGTAACTTTTAGTGTTGTTGTAAGGCCTAATTGCGAAAACGAGTATAGAATCACTTAGCAGAATTCCTTCTACGTAAATTATTGGGTAACCTAATTCCTGTGTGATTTAGAACAAAATGAATAGTGGCACTAGTTCTCTTTAACCCTGACGAGAAACCAAGTCAAGCCTTTACCAACAAGAAACTGATTAGGGCAAAATTGAAAAAAACCAGAAACCTGTTTATCAGCCTCCAAAGAGAGCACAGTCTGGTAGAGGAACAAAAGACTTAACCTGATCAAGAGTAATGCCTTAGGTGTGTGTGCTTTATAGTTTACAAAATAGTTTCATATATACTGTTTCCTTTGATACAACAATTCCTTTAGAGTAGGGAAAACAGAATCTTGACTGTTTTTGCAAATGAAGAAATGGAAACCCAGAGACCCTAGGAGAGTTGCCTGAGACATATAGCCAGTTAGTGCTTAATCCGATTCGGACCTGGTTCTTCTGCCTCTCCTTCTAGTCTTTGTTTCCAAACAGTTTATACACTGCTGATGATGTAAACCAAAATTCTTAGCTCTAAATAAATATAAATCTAGTCTATTCTAATCTTCTGGTTCCTATAGAACTTATATCATTGTTTCACTGAGCAAGTAAGACTAATTCTGCATTGTAAATTGAAAAGAATTTTAACTTTTAAAATGTTTTCGACACTTAGTATTCATCAGTTGCCTTGCCATTTTAAAATTTAATTAGCTGTGTTAGAAGAAAGAAGCAGTATGAAAAAAGTTGTAGTAAACACTGTCTAAGTAACTTGATGGTTTTCCTTCCTTCACTTTCCTCAGGTCTTCTTTTCTGTATTAATTGGGGCTTTTAGTGTTGGACAGGCATCTCCAAGCATCGAAGCATTTGCAAACGCAAGAGGAGCAGCTTATGAAGTCTTCAAGATAATTGACAACGTAAGTCTGGGCTAGCCATTTATCCATCTTTCTAAAAGTATTTCTAGTTAGAAGTCGGTGTCTTTATCACTTAATCCAGCTCTCCACAAATGTCACTAAAAGTAGTTATTGTAACCTAGTAATCTTCTGAAATTTTCTTCTGTTTAGAAGCCAAGCATTGACAGCTATTCAACGAG